GGGAGGCCATTAGGCGTGGATTTTTTAAAGACATTTTTTTAAGGTCTGGGAGGCCATTAGGCGTGGATTTTTTAAAGACATTTTTTTAAGGTCTGGGAGGCCATTAGGCGTGGATTTTTTAAAGACATTTTTTTAAGGTCTGGGAGGCCATTAGGCGTGGATTTTTTAAAGACATTTTTTTAAGGTCTGGGAGGCCATTAGGCGTGGATTTTTTAAAGACATTTTTTTAAGGTCTGGGAGGCCATTAGGCGTGGATTTTTTAAAGACATTTTTTTAAGGTCTGGGAGGCCATTAGGCGTGGATTTTTTAAAGACATTTTTTTAAGGTCTGGGAGGCCATTAGGCGTGGATTTTTTAAAGACATTTTTTTAAGGTCTGGGAGGCCATTAGGCGTGGATTTTTTAAAGACATTTTTTTAAGGTCTGGGAGGCCATTAGGCGTGGATTTTTTAAAGACATTTTTTTAAGGTCTGGGAGGCCATTAGGCGTGGATTTTTTAAAGACATTTTTTTAAGGTCTGGGAGGCCATTAGGCGTGGATTTTTTAAAGACATTTTTTTAAGGTCTGGGAGGCCATTAGGCGTGGATTTTTTAAAGACATTTTTTTAAGGTCTGGGAGGCCATTAGGCGTGGATTTTTTAAAGACATTTTTTTAAGGTCTGGGAGGCCATTAGGCGTGGATTTTTTAAAGACATTTTTTTAAGGTCTGGGAGGCCATTAGGCGTGGATTTTTTAAAGACATTTTTTTAAGGTCTGGGAGGCCATTAGGCGTGGATTTTTTAAAGACATTTTTTTAAGGTCTGGGAGGCCATTAGGCGTGGATTTTTTAAAGACATTTTTTTAAGGTCTGGGAGGCCATTAGGCGTGGATTTTTTAAAGACATTTTTTTAAGGTCTGGGAGGCCATTAGGCGTGGATTTTTTAAAGACATTTTTTTAAGGTCTGGGAGGCCATTAGGCGTGGATTTTTTAAAGACATTTTTTTAAGGTCTGGGAGGCCATTAGGCGTGGATTTTTTAAAGACATTTTTTAAGGTCTGGGAGGCCATTAGGCGTGGATTTTTTAACGAAATTCTGAAAAGGTATCAAAGGCCATTAGGCGTGGATTTTTTAAAGAAATTCTGACAAGGTCTCAAAGGCCATTAGGCATGGATTTTTTAAAGAAATTCAAACCAGGTCTCAAAGGCCATTAGGCGTGGATTTTTTAAAGAAATTCAAACCAGGTCTCAAAGGCCATTAGGCGAGGATTTTCTAAAGAAATTCAAACCTGGTCTCAAAGGCCATTAGGCGTGGATTTTTTAAAGAAATTCAAACCAGGTCTCAAAGGCCATTAGGCGAGGATTTTCTAAAGAAATTCAAACCTGGTCTCAAAGGCCATTAGGCGTGGATTTTTTAAAGAAATTCAAACCAGGTCTCAAAGGCCATTAGGCGTGGATTTTTTAAAGAAATTCAAACCAGGTATCAAAGGCCAGAAGGCGTGGATTTTTTAAAGAAATTCAAACCAGGTATCAAAGGCCATAAGGCGTGGAGTTTTTAAAGAAATTTTGACAAGGTCTCAAAGGCAAATAGACGTAAATTTTTTAAAGAAATTTTGACAAGGTCTCAAAGGCAAATAGACGTAAATTTTTTAAAGAAATTTTGACAAGGTCTAGCTGAACAATAGGCGTGGATTTTTTAAAGAAATTTTTACAAGGTCTAGCTGAACAATAGGCGTGGATTTTTTAAAGAAATTTTTACAAGGTCTAGCTGAACAATAGGCGTGGATTTTTTAAAGAAATTTTGACAAGGTCTAGCTGAAAAATAGGCGGGGATTTTTTAAAGAAATTTTGACAAGGTCTAGCTGAAAAATAGGCGTGGATTTTTTAAAGAAATTTTGACAAGGTCTAGGTGAAAAATAGGCGTGGATTTTTTAAAGAAATTTTTTGAAGGTCTGGGAGGCCATTAGGCGTGGATTTTTAAAAGAAATTTTTGAAGGTCTGGGATGCCATTAGGCGTGGATTTTTTAAAGAAATTTTTTGAAGGTCTGGGAGGCCATTAGGCGTGGATTTTTAAAAGAAATTTTTGAAGGTCTGGGATGCCATTAGGCGTGGATTTTTTAAAGAAATTTTTTGAAGGTCTGGGAGGCCATTAGGCGTGGATTTTTAAAAGAAATTTTTGAAGGTCTGGGATGCCATTAGGCGTGGATTTTTTAAAGAAATTTTGACAAGGTCTAGCTGAAAAATAGGCGTGGATTTTTTAAAGAAATTTTGACAAGGTCTAGCTGAAAAATAGGCGTGGATTTTTTAAAGAAATTTTGACAAGGTCTAGCTGAAAAATAGGCGTGGATTTTTTAAAGAAATTTTTTGAAGGTCTGGGAGGCCATTAGGCGTGGATTTTTAAAAGAAATTTTTGAAGGTCTGGGAGGCCATTAGGCGTGGATTTTTTAAAGACATTTTTTTAAGGTCTGGGAGGCCATTAGGCGTGGATTTTTTAACGAAATTCTGAAAAGGTATCAAAGGCCATTAGGCGTGGATTTTTTAAAGAAATTCTGACAAGGTCTCAAAGGCCATTAGGCATGGATTTTTTAAAGAAATTCAAACCAGGTATCAAAGGCCATAAGGCGTGGAGTTTTTAAAGAAATTTTGACAAGGTCTCAAAGGCAAATAGACGTAAATTTTTTAAAGAAATTTTGACAAGGTCTCAAAGGCAAATAGACGTAAATTTTTTAAAGAAATTTTGACAAGGTCTCAAAGGCAAATAGACGTACATTTTTTAAAGAAATTATGACAAGGTCTAGCTGAACAATAGGCGTGGATTTTTTAAAGAAATTTTTACAAGGTCTAGCTGAACAATAGGCGTGGATTTTTTAAAGAAATTTTTACAAGGTCTAGCTGAACAATAGGCGTGGATTTTTTAAAGAAATTTTTACAAGGTCTAGCTGAACAATAGGCGTGGATTTTTTAAAGAAATTTTGACAAGGTCTAGCTGAAAAATAGGCGGGGATTTTTTAAAGAAATTTTGACAAGGTCTAGCTGAAAAATAGGCGTGGATTTTTTAAAGAAATTTTGACAAGGTCTAGCTGAAAAATAGGCGTGGATTTTTTAAAGAAATTTTTTGAAGGTCTGGGAGGCCATTAGGCGTGGATTTTTAAAAGAAATTTTTGAAGGTCTGGGATGCCATTAGGCGTGGATTTTTTAAAGAAATTTTTTGAAGGTCTGGGAGGCCATTAGGCGTGGATTTTTAAAAGAAAATTTTGAAGGTCTGGGATGCCATTAGGCGTGGATTTTTTAAAGAAATTTTGACAAGGTCTAGCTGAACAATAGGCGTGGATTTTTTAAAGAAATTTTTTGAAGATCTGGGAGGCCATTAGGCGTGGATTTTTTAAAGAAATTTTGACAAGGTCTAGCTGAACAATAGGCGTGGATTTTTTAAAAAATTTTTTGAAGATCTGGGAGGCCATTAGGCGTGTATTTTTTAAAGAAATTTTGACAAGGTCTAGCTGAACAATAGGCGCGGATTTTTTAAAAAATTTTTTGAAGATCTGGGAGGCCATTAGGCGTGGATTTTTTAAAGAAATTTTGACAAGGTCTAGCTGAACAATAGGCGTGGATTTTTTAAAGAAATTTTTTGAAGGTCTGGGAGGCCATTAGGAGTGGATTTTTTAAAGGCGTGGATTTTTTAAAGGCCATTAGGCGTGGATTTTTTAAAGACATTTTTTAAGGTCTGGGAGGCCATTAGGCGTGGATTTTTTAAAGACATTTTTTTAAGGTCTGGGAGGCCATTAGGCGTGGATTTTTTAAAGACATTTTTTTAAGGTCTGGGAGGCCATTAGGCGTGGATTTTTTAAAGACATTTTTTTAAGGTCTGGGAGGCCATTAGGCGTGGATTTTTTAAAGACATTTTTTTAAGGTCTGGGAGGCCATGAGGCGTGGATTTTTTAAAGACATTTTTTTAAGGTCTGGGAGGCCATTAGGCGTGGATTTTTTAAAGACATTTTTTTAAGGTCTGGGAGGCCATGAGGCGTGGATTTTTTAAAGACATTTTTTAAGGTCTGGGAGGCCATGTGGCGTGGATTTTTTAAAGACATTTTTTAAGGTCTGGGAGGCCATGTGGCGTGGATTTTTTAAAGACATTTTTTAAGGTTCAGGTTCTCCATGTAAATTGCACTTTGATTGGGACAGGTAAAACATTCTTCTAACCTCAAACGGTTTAATAATATAATTTTTATTTTTTTAATTTCCAGATTTTGAGTTATTATAGAATACACATCGAGGCAAGGTTAATTGAAACACAATTTGGATCCCCTTATCTTTCTATCGAAACTGGATTTGACTGCTACTGAAGATATATTTTAAGAAATAAACGGATCAAAGTCCTTACAGGCAGAAAGATTGAACACTCTAGGGATGGGTAAGTGAGAAATATAAATTATTTTTTCTCCCTCGATGTTTTTTTTTTTTTTTTTTTGAAACACTCAATTTTTTTTTGTTCAACATTTTTTTTTTTTGTAACCTTTATTCTTAAAAAAATAATAAACTAATTTTTTTTATACACAAAAATAAAACCACTTGCAATTGTCTTTTCGTTATTTTTTCTTTTTTGATATTTTCCTTTCGTTCTTGATTATTTGAATATTTTTGAAAAAATATTAATGCTATATATTTTTAAATAACTTTTGCTTGGTTTTTTGTTTTTTATCTTTTCCTTTATATTTTTTTATAAAAAACTAAATTCTCTTAAATTAATATTGATATTTGTTTTTGTTTCATTCCTTTATGTTTCCTATATTTGAAATAAATTTGTCTTTGCTATATTTTTTGTTACAAGAAAAAATATTAATGAGAAAAAAATTACAAAATAATAATAAAAAAATAATTACAACAAATGCCATACCCTAATACACACACACAGGCGCACACGATCGCACACCTTCAATTTTACATTGGGTTAGGTTATGGTGTGGTGGTAGGTTGTCGGAGCCGGCGTAGGAGTAGGAAAAACAGATCATAAGACAGCCTTTTTTGGGTTTAGTAACGTTGCCGACTGCTGGGATAACTGCCAGGTGGTGGGGGCTGATAATAATTTCCGGGAGGAGGGTGACCTCCACCACCTCTACTAGATGTAAGTGGAGGCGGTTGGGTTGGATCTACACCGGGAGGTGGTGGGGGTGGAGCACCACCGGTGCTATTGCCTCCAGCACCTGGCGGCATTGGTGGTACACTGGCATAGTGAGGAGGTGCCCCATAATAGGGCGGTACCATGGGCTGTGGTGGTGGCGGTAAGGGAGGTGGTATAACACCCGCTGCTGCCGCCGCCGAATTTGGCCCGGCCACACTTGGCACCGGAGGATGTGGCGGATAGCCGGCATTGGGTGGTGGTGGCATTGGTCCACCCGCCGCATACATGGCATGCATTGGATGGTGACCAGCCATGGGTGGCATGGCAGTGTACATATGATGTGAAGAGGCCGCAGCGGCATGATGATGATGATGCGGAGGATGATGATAACCAGAAGAGGCTGCTGCGGCGGCCACACCATGTGGCGGTGGCACTGCTGCATGATGATCTATGGAGGCAGGAGGTACAGTTGGTATGCTAGAGGCAATGGTCGGTATGGGTTTAATATTTTGTGCATTGTTAATATCGTGGTTAGCGCCACCACCACCAGATGACGCTGCTGAATTCGCCGCGGATGCGGGTTGGCCACCATGGCCACCTTTCGTTTTACCCGCCGGCGAACCACTGTGATTCCCCAAGGGCAGCGAGGATTTCATGGGAGTTGGGCTATCCGCCCTGCTAGGTGGTTTCTGAGGTGGACTATTGCTTTCGGTAGTTTCTTTGGAATTCGTTTGATATAAATCCAAGACCTGATGGCAAATATCTTCCAAAATGTCCATGGTCACATCGGAAACAAACATATCCCACCAACGGGTATGGTGAGGCTGTCTTCCAATCCAATCGGTTACCGTAAATTTACTTAATTTACTGGCCAAATAAATCAAGGCCACGGCAATGATTTCCGGTTCCCATTGTAGGCACACCACGGTACTCAACGAATCGTTGACAAAATTCCAAGCCATTTGGACCATTTTTTGTAGCTTCTGTTGATCGCCCTTAAAGCACTTGGCATAGCGTAGCAAAAAGGAGTAGGGGTGCTCAACTTGTAAATCAAATTTTATGGTTTGCAACAGAATTCGCTCCAAGGTAATGACTTCCTGCAAGGTGAAAAAAGCCACAGAATTAAAAATTAAAAAAAAAACAATTTTTTCGGCCACCTACCTCTTTGGGTTCCTTGCCAAACGAATAGAAATGATTATCGGACAACAATTGCCGGGCTATTAAAATTATATCGCGACATTTCTTTGGTGTCTCCTCGACCTTGCCGGCCAACAGCAGGCAACAGCATGCCGTCACATAACGTGGAAACTGTTTAAAGGACTGGAACATATAGAACCGGTGAAAATATACCACACCCGTGGCCATGGTATTGTGGCCGAGGCCCATTTGGGTACCGCAGGTCATAATGAAACGGGCACCCTCTTTGCGATAACGTCGTTCCGTTTCCAAGGGTATACCATCGCGTATTGAAGGAGTGTCACGCAGCTCGCTCTTGTCATAATACCAACAAGGCATTTTCCGCTAAATTTTCAACACGTTGTTGCTGCAGTCTTCCGGGATACCAGAGACTCCACTTTTTTCAAGAAAATATTCACAAAATCTTTAAAAATCCGCACCAACCCTCACTCTTCTCTTGGGGAAGTTTTTGTTTACAAAATTTTTGCTTGGAACTTTTGTTGTTGTTGTGCTCAATTATTATACGGGGGCGGGGTAGATAGGCGTTGTGGCGGTCACAAGTCTTATCGTGTGCTTACACTTGTTTGGATCACCCAAAAAAAAAAAAAAACACTGGAATGCTGCTGTCGTTTGTCCGTCTCCTTTGGCTTTCACTTTACTTTGATTTTTCTTGTTTAGTTTTGCCCGGTAACTTTGCACGTAATTATCTTGTTTCTTTATCTATTAACAAAAACAACAACTTAATTCATTAGAAATTCTAATTAAAATAATAATAGAAATGTGTTTTAGTTAAATATTCTTCTCGTTTTTTGCATGAAGCAGCAAAGCAATGCACGTAAATCGTCTACTGCCGTCTCTTATGAATTGTCAAATTGCCCAACACTATTGTGAATGGTCAACTATTGCATAGAACAAGAAGAAGCAGCAGAATAGAAAGAGAACAGCTGTTCACCGGCAAACAGTGTTGTAGTCGAAAGGCAGGGATGGGAGTTGTTATGTGAGAAGAGTGGCTTAAATTGAAGGGAAAAAGGGGGGATATAATTAAAGTAATGGATAACAAATATAAAAATAATGATAAATTATAACAAAAATAACATAAGTAACTAATAAATATAAAAGTAACAAATTATTAAAAAAAATAACCTTTGGTTTACACATGGCAAATCAATTGAATTGATTTATTGATTAAAAAATAGGGATTTTTAGTGAACGAGAGAGCAACAAAAAGCGGAATATTTCAAAAAGCAATGAAATAACTAAAAATTAGTAAATTATTAACTTCAGTTTACACATGGCAAATCAATTGAATTCATTATAAATTAATAAACGGGTTATTTGTGTGAAACAGAGAGAGAGAGCCCGGAAAGGGGATTATTTTAAAAGGAATGAATATCAAATATAAATTATAAAAAATATATATATTTATATAAACAGCAGCTTATACAGCTTAAAATCCACACCTTAAAAAATATTTTAAAAAAATCCACGCCTTAAATTTTTTTTAAAAAAATCCACGCCTTAAATTTTTTTTAAAAAATCCACGCCTTAATTCACCCTCAAAAAATATTCTTTAAAAAATCCAGGCCTTAATTCAGCCTCAAGAAATATTCTTTAAAAAATCCACGCCTTAATTTTTTTTTTTTAAAAATCCACGCCTTAAAAAAATTATATTAAGAAAATCCACGCCTTAAAAAAATTATATTAAAAAAAATCCACGCCTTAAAAAAATTATATTAAAAAAAATCCACGCCTTAAACTATTTTTTTTAAAAAAATCCACGCCTTGAAAAAATATTTTTTTAAATCCACGCCTTTAAAAAAATTTTTTTAAAAAAATCCACGCCTTTAAAAAATTTTTTTTTAAAAAATCCACGCCTTTAAAAAATATTTTTTTAAATCCACGCCTTAAAAAAATTATTTAAAAAAAATCCATGCCTTAAAAAAATTATTTAAAAAAAAATCCACGCCTTAAAAAAATTATTTTTAAATCCACGCCTTAAAAAAATTATTTTTAAATCCACGCCTTAAAAAAATTATTTAAAAAAAATCCACGCCTTAAAAAAATTATTTAAAAAAAAATCCACGCCTTAAAAAAATTATTTTTAAAAAAATCCACGCCTTGAAAAAATATATTTTTTTAAATCCACGCCTTGAAAAAATATATCTTTTTAAACCCACGCCTTAAAAAGCTATTTTTAAAAAAATCCACGCCTTGAAAAAACTATTTTTAAAAAAATCCACGCCTTGAAAAAATATTTTTTTTAAATCCACGCCTTAAAAAAATAATTTTAAAAAATCCACGATTTGAAAAAATATTTTTTAGAAAAATCCAAGCCTTCAAAAAATATTGTTTAAAAATATTTTAAAAAAATCCACGCTTTCCCAAAGAAAATGCATGTAAGTCTTCATAAATGGCCTGCCAAAATAAATACAAATAAAACAAGAATTTAATAACCATTCACAATAATGTCCATATAAGCATCAGCTGTTAATATGCCGTAGAAGTCCAAACAATCCACGCCTTGGTTAGGACCTCCAAAAATCACTTTTAAAAAATTCACGCCTTGGTTAGGACCTCCAAAAATCACTTTTAAACAATCCACGCCTTGGTTAGGACCTCCAAAAATCACTTTTAAACAATCCACGCCTTGGTTAGGACCTCCAAAAATCACTTTTAAACAATCCACGTCTTGGTTAGGACTTCCAAAAATCACTTTTAAGCAATCCAGGCCTTGGTTAGGACCTCCAAAAATCACTTTTAAATAATTCACGCCTTGGTTAGGACCCCCAAAAATCACTTTTAAACAATCCACGCCTCCAAAAAAATTTTTAAAAAATTAATATTGGGGAACCCTAAAAACACTCTCTGTCAAAATCTATTTTGACAATGTTTTCTTCAAAAAAAGTACAAATATTTTCATTATGATTCAACTGAATCGATATCGTATCTGTGTGTTTTATATAATCACAACAATGCTGATTAGTTGTTTCGTTTATACCCTGATATCGAATAATATTCAAAATGCCCAGGAGCTAAAACGCCTGCGGGAGGAGATCGATGAGATTGCAGTAAGTAAAAAAAAAACCAAACCCCATTGTTTAATCACTTCCCTCCCCTAGCATTTAGTTCTACATAATTCCATTAATGGCCGGGAATCACCGTATCACCTATCCGATACGATCGATGCAATGATTAAGAAACGCCTCAGCGGAATATGGGATGATTTATTTCATTTAAAGAAAATGCTTAAAATGGATCAAGAATCCAAGGAAATAAAGGATTCGGAAGAAAGCCACGAACCAGCTGTGACAAAAGTTGTAGAACGGGTGAATTATGCCGCGGATGAGTTGGGCGCCAAAATCTTATTTCTCATGGCTGAACCAATTTGTGGCACGAATTTTCTTCAATCCTGGTTGGGTATGGAATTCACTTGCAATCCTCCCGTACACATGTTGCGAACTTCTATGAAGCCGGGTAACTGTTTTGGGTTTCGCGGTCAACAGGCTGAGGTGACAATACAATTGTCACATGAGGTGGGTGTGAATTAGAAATTTTGGAGGGAAAATATTTTTTATATCGATTTTTTTGGCAGATTATTTTAGATCAAATATTGGTGGAACATATACCGAAATATCAATCGCCAACGGAGAATACCACATCGGCTCCAAAGGATTTTGAAATAATTGTGAGTAAAAAAGGGGAGTGACAAATTTCAGGGTTGCATTTTCCATGGCATGTTAACAGCTGATGCCTGTATGAAGGCTATTGTGAATGATTACTAAACTCTTGCTTTGTTCCTACAGGGTATCTATGAGGACTTCCATGAATTTTCTTTGGGGAAATATCGTTTTCTCAATAACCCCGAGAGACCTCGGCAATATTTCACCGTAATTACCAATGATCGTGTGGGATTTTTGAGATTTAAATTTCTCTCGAATCATGGTCATCCAAACTATACGTGTGTTTATAGGTAAGGAAATATATAAAATAATTTTTGGAGGTTCTACACAAGGAGTGTTTTTTTAGAAATATTTTTTCAAGGCTTGGATTTTTTTAAAAAATATTTTTTCAAGGCTTGGATTTTTTTACAAAATTTTTTTTCAAGGCGTGGATTTTTTAAAAATATTTTTCAAGGGGTGGTTTTTTCAAATTTTTAAAATAATATTTTTTCAAGGCGTGGATTTTTTAAAAATATTTTTTTAAGGCGTGGATTTTTTTTTTCTAAAATATTTTTTAAGGCGTGGATTTTTTCTAAAATATTTTTTAAGGCGTGGATTTTTTCTAAAATATGGATTTTTTAAAAATAATTTTTCAAGGCGTGGATTTTTTTAAAAATATTTTTTCAAGGCTTGGATTTTTCAAAAAATATTTTTTCAAGGCTTGGATTTTTTTAAAAAATATTTTTTCAAGACGTGGATTTTTTTAAAAATTATTTTTTTAAGGCGTGGACTTTTTTAAAAATATTTTTTTCAAGGCTTGGATTTGTTTAAAAATTATTTTTTTCAAAGCGTGGATTTTTTAAAAATATTTTTTTTAAAGACGTGGAGGTTCTACACAAGGAGTGTTTTTTTAGAAATATTTTTTCAAGGCTTGGATTTTTTTAAAAAATATTTTTTCAAGGCGTGGATTTTTTAAAAATATTTTTCAAGGGGTGGTTTTTTCAAAATTTTAAAAAAATATTTTTTCAAGGCGTGGATTTTTTTCTAAAATATTTTTTTAAGGCGTGGATTTTTTAAAAATATTTTTTTAAGGCGTGGATTTTTTTTCTAAAATATTTTTTTATGGCGAGGATTTTTTTCTAAAATATTTTTTCAAGGCGTGGATTTTTTTCTAAAATATTTTTTAAGGCGTGGATTTTTTCTAAAATATTTTTTCAAAGCGTGGATTTTGTCAAAAATATTTTTTCAAGGCGTGGGGTTTTTTTTAAAACTATTTTTTCAAGGCGTGGATTTTTTTAAATATTTTTTCAAGGCGTGGATTTTTTTAAAAATATTTTTTCAAGGCGTGAATTTTTTTTAAAAATATTTTTTCAAGGCTTGGATTTTTTTAAAAAATATTTTTTCAAGGCTTGGATTTTTTTAAAAAATATTTTTTCAAGGCGTGGATTTTTTTAAAAATTATTTTTTTAAGGCGTGGATTTTTTAAAAATAATTTTTTCAAGGCTTGGATTTTTTTAAAAATTATTTTTTTCAAGGCGTGGATTTTTAAAAAAAAATTTTTTAAAGACGTGGATTTTTTAAAAATAATTTTTTCAAGGCTTGGATTCTTTTAAAAATTATTTTTTTCAAGGCGTGGATTTTTTAAAAAATTATTTTTTCATGGCGTGGATTTTTTAAAAAATTAATTTTTTAAGGCGTGGATTTTTTAAAAATTAATTTTTTAAGGCGTGGATTTTTTAAAAATTAATTTTTTAAGGCGTGGATTTTTTAAAAATTAATTTTTTAAGGCGTGGATTTTTTAAAAATTTATTTTCAATTCCATAAAAAAGTTTTTTTTTTAATTTTTAATCGCTTCTAATAATTTTCTTTGTGTTCTTTCATTACAGAATTGCTGTCTATGGCAGATTATAAGGTCAACGAATCGATTCACTGATAATTTTTTTTTATTTTAATTATAATAATAATTTATTTTATTATTGTTACTATTTATTTGTATTGTTATTTAGATGATAATGTATTTTTTAATCAATAATTTTAATTGCCAAAATAAAAAATAATTTAATCATTAAAATAAAATTCTTGTCCTATATTCTTGTTGTTGTGCTATTTAATTGTTTGCCACTGTCTTCCAAATTGTCTTTTTTTTAATATTTCTTCCTCCCACAACTTTCACATATTTATCTGTTCACTCATGAATCGCCTTTATTAATGGTGGGCGTTTGTTGTTGTTCTTGTCATGATTAGGTCTGTTTACAAATGAGAGCAATGGTGATTGTTGACATTATGTGCGAGCTGTGTTTTGTTTTTGTATATACAATCATATATCGGTGAGATACTTTCATTTCATTCCCTCCCTGCCTCCCTCCCTCGCTCTCACCCACCCACCAATCAAGAGAAAATTATCCAACCCTCTCTCTGGTTAAATAATAACAATGCAAAGTTCTTCACGCTAGGCTCCAATTGGTACTCCCTCTCACTCTTTCTTTCACTCACTCATCAAACCTGCTCTTGCAGGCATGTCTTCACAGAATTTGTAAGCTGCTGCTGTGGTGTTTATCAACAAACACCGGACACACAAACTAATCTTCGTTCATATATCGTTGCGTGTATGTATGTCTGTCTGTATTTATGTTTCTGGGTTTTCTGATGTTTCGTTTGTATCTTATCTTTTGCGCATTGTTTTGTTGTTGTGAAGCGGAAGCATAAGGCCAGCAGAATGATGATGAATACCAAAAAACACAAGATATACAATTTAGATGAGAGATGAAATGCAAACCCCAGTTGGAAAAATTGTCGTAACAAAGTATAAAATTAAAAAATATATTTTATAATGGATAGGCGTGAATTTTTTAAAAATAGTTTTTCAAGCATCAACACAGATTTGGATTTTTAACCACCAAAAATATTTTTAAATAAATCCACGCCTTTTTGTAGAAATTCCAAAAAATTCTAAAAAATATATTTTTTCTTTTTATATTTGTAACTTCCCATCTCTGTTATTTAATGAGAATATTTTCTTATTAGTAGATGATAGATACAATAATTTTTAATTTTTACCAGCTTTTATACATATTATACAGGTTTTTTACATTTACAACACTTGGAAAAATTGTGTCAAAAATCGAAGATAATTTTCGTATACACTCTTAGTGACATCGAAAATCGTAATTTTTGATTTTGAACAGTTTTTATACATTTTTACAGGTTTTTGACATTTACGACACACGCTAAGTTTTGTAAAAAATCTCAAAATTTTATTTTTTTTTGTAGAGATGAAGAAATATTATTTTCAATTTTTACTAGCGTTTATACATGTTATACAGGTTTTTGACATTTACGACATTTGGAAAAATTAGTCAGAAGTCGAAAATAATTTTCGTATACACTCTTAATGACTTTGAAAATTGTTATTTTTGATTATTATGAGCTTTTATAGATTTTCTACAGGTTTTTTACATTTACGATACAAGCAAAATTTTGTCAAAAATATCAACATTTCCCTAAAATACATTTTTGTAGAGATGAAAAATTTAATTTTTACCAGCTTTTATACATATTATACAAGTTTTTGACATTTACAACATTTGGAAAAATTATGTCAAAAATCGAAAATAATTTTCGTATACACTCGTAGTGACTTTGACTTTTGTAATTTTTGAACAGTTTTTATACATTTTCTACAGGTTTTTGACATATACGACATACGCTAAATTTTGTCAAAAATATCAAAATTTACCTAAAATACATTTTTGTGGAGATGAAAAATATAATTTTTAATTTTTACCAGCTTTTATACATATTTTACAAGTTTTTGGCATTTACGATATTTGGAAAATTATGTCAAAAATCGAAAATAATTTTCGTATACACTCTTAGTGACATCCAAAAACATTAATTTTGTTTTTGAACAGTTTTTATAAATTTTTTACAGTTTTTTTGACATTTACGACATACGCTAAATTTTGTAAAAAATCTCAACATTTACCTAAAATACATTATTGTAGAGAAGAAAAATATAATTTTTTAAATTTTACCAGATTTTATACATATTATACAAGTTTTTGACCTTTACGACATTTGGAAAACTATTTCCATTTCTCTATCATATGTACGACAATTTTTCCAACTGGGTATATAGAATACCGTCAACAACCCACAACACAACTCGTTCACTGTCGCTCTCTGCCAATACACATGTACTCAACACTGAACGTACTCTCATGAGAGCATATGCTTGTTTGTTTGAGCCTGCAGGCTGCAGCCAGCAAACAAACAAGATAGAGCACAGTTATATTTTGCTCTCGTTGGTAGACACACACAAAGTGCGCGGAAAAATTTAGCGGTGGATTTTTTTGTATTTCCTCGAATTGTCAGTCAGTCAGAGCAAGAAGAAGAAGATAGCAGAAAGCATCAAACGGGATATTGTTTAAATAAATAAATTAAAAATAATATATTTTTTGTGATTATCTAAGTGAAAGAAAAGCCAAAAAATTAATGATGATAATAATGGGCAACAATAATAAATAAAAAAGTTAGATAAAAAAATAACAACTAAGAGGCAGAAAAAAGTGATTTTTAGCTGTCACTTGGGCTTCTACTGTGTGAGGAGAGGAGAGCCAAAAATATAAAGTGAAGAGTGAAAAGGGCTAAAAATACCATGAAATAAAATAATAATTTAAATATTAACAAATTCCGTGAAACGTAATAAAACAAATAGAAGTCAAAGTAATAGAGCGAAAAAAGAAGACGACGAAGAAGTAGATAGAAAAAAAGAAAGTGTATATAAAAAAGTATCTGAGTAATAAAGGTAGCATTAGCACAAGAGGAAGAGAAGAAGAAGCAGCCGCAATAGTAGTAAAAGAATAATAACAACAACACCACCACCACCACAACAACAAAAACTGACAAGTCGCAGCAAAACATAACTACACACAGACACCATTAGCCAGGCAGGCAGGCTTAAGCAAAACCAAACAAAATAACCATACACAGAAAAAAGAATCCTTCATAGCGTGCGTGAGTGGTCTTGCCTATGTGAGAATTCTTGAAGAAAAAAACACAGTTTGTAGTTGTTCCCCGTAGATTCGTGCGTATGTGTATGTGTTAATGCCTGTTTAAGTGGCCAGCACGTCCTTTGACTGTATCGTCGTTGTGGTATTTGGTGCCTGATGCCTGTCACAGTGCCTCAGTGTCTGCCAGTGTAAAAACAACAACAAAAACAAGGATTCGATTTATTGATTGCGTTCTAAAGGAATTTTGAGTTTCCAACTAACCCAACACACACCCACACAGCCAAACCAAATAAGGCGCAACTACGAATTTCACCCTCACAACGAATTGAAGGAATTTACAAAAAAGTGATATTCAATTGAAAATTTTGTAACAAGTGTTGCGGCTGACCAGACAGAACATTCCCCATATTTTGTGATTTACATTCCCCCGGCAAGATGGTGCAGAAATATCAATCACCCGTCAGGGTATATAAATACCCATTCGAATTGGTTATGAAGGTGAGTTTTGAGAATCAATCATTTTTTTAAGAATAGATTTTTTTTAAAAAATATTTTTTGGACACCTCAAACAAGGAGTGGATTTTTTCAATTGATTTTTGGACACCTTAACAAAGGCGTGGTTTTTTAAATTAATTTTTGGAGGTCTTAGAGGTCCGAATTGTATATGAAGATGTCGTTAGAGGTCCGAATTGTGTATGGAGAGGTTTCAATTGTATATGAACAGGTCAATAGTAGTCCGAATTGTGTATGGAGAGGTCGCTAGAAGTCCGAATTGTATATGGAAAGGTCGGTATATGTCCGAATTGTATATGGAGAGGTCTCAATTCTACATGGAGAGGTCGGTAGAGGTCCGAATTGCATATGGAGAAGTCAGTAGAGTTTCGAATTGTATATGGAGAGGTCGATAGAGGTCCGAATTGTATATGAAGATGTCGGTAGAGGTCCGAATTGTGTATGGATAGGACGGTAGAGGTCGGAATTGCATATGGAGAGGTAGATAGAGGTCCGAACTGTATATGGAGAGTTCTCAAATGTATATGGAGAGGCCGGTAGACGTCAGAATTGTGTATGGATAGGTCGGTAGTGGTCCGAAAGTCCGAATTGTATATGGAGAGATCGGTAGAGGTTCGTATTGCATATGGAGAGGTCGATAGAATTGCATATGGAGAGGTCGATAGAGGTATGATTTGTATATGTAGAGGTCGGTAGAGATCCGAAAGGTGTATGGAGAGGTCGATAGAGTTCCGAATTGTATTTGGAGAGGTTGGTAGAGGTCTAAATTTTATTTGGAGAGGTTGGTAGAGGTATGAATTGTATATGGAAAGGTCGGTAGATGTCAGAATTGTATATTCAGAGGTGGGTCGAGGTTTGAATTGTATATGCAGAGGTCGGAATTGTATACGGAGAGGCCGGTAGAGGTCCGAGTTGTATTTGCACAAGTCTGTAGAGGTCTGAATTGTATATGGAGAAGTCGGTAGAGGTCTGAATTGTTAGCTAAAATGCAAAAAGGTGTAACAAACAAAAAATTGAAATTGACTTTGTCAACACATGTAGTTTATTGACATTCACAATATTCATTCAAAAATCAATTTTTAGTTTTTTGTTAGTTACGCCTTTTTGCATTTTAGCTAACGATATGGAGATTTTAGCTAACGATATTCATTCAAAAAGTCAATTTTCAATTTTTTTTAGTTAAGCCTTTTTGCATTTTAGCTAACGATATGGAAAGGTGGGTAGAGTTCCGAATTGTATTCGGAGAGGTCGATAGAGGTACGATTTGTATATGGAGAGGTCGGTAGAGGTCCTAATGGTATATGGAGTGGTCGGTAGAGGTCTGAATTGTGTATGGAAATACCGGTAGAGGTCCGGGGAGAGCTGCGAATACCTTATAATGGGCTTCTTAGGGTTCAGAATGTTACATATTCGAATGACAGTAGGGGTTCGATTATTTAGAAGGACTTTAAATGTAGGAATAATTTATGCGGAACCTATTAGAGGTCTGAATAGTTTTTGATGGAGTTCGAATAGTAAATTCGGTGGGCCGAATATGATTTAGAAGATCCAAATATTATATTAGGAGGTCAGTAGAGCTTCAAATTTCATATGAAGTGGTTGTTACAGCTTCAAATTGTAAATCCGGAAATCTTCGAACTTTTCAAAGAGTCTATTAGAGGTTTGAATTATTTATTAAGTTGTTGTTAGAGTTTCAAATAGGAAATCTGGAGGTCTTTTGAGGCCCGCATTTTATATTAGGAGGTCAGTGGAGATGCAAATACGTTAAAATGGGCTTCTTAGGGCTCATAATGTTATATATTCGAATCTCTGTAGAAATTCGATCATAAAGAAGGGCTGCCGAACCTATTAGAGGTCCGAATAGTTTTGGATGGAGTTCAAATAGTAAATTCGGAGGTCCGAATATGATTTAGAAGGTCCGATTATTATCTTAGGAGGTCAGTAGAGCTACGAATTTTTATGAAGTGGTCGTTAGAGCCTCAAATAGTAAATACAGAGGTCTTCTTCGCTTCTTAGAGGTCAAATATTTGTTACGAGATTGCCTAACTTTTGCGAGGATGTCATTTGAAGCCCCAAAAATTCATCCGAGGTTCATAAAAGGTCATTTAAAAGATCGTTCCTTTTATCATTACTCTTTTATTTATATTTTCAACCCGAAAATATCATAACCTTAGCGGATTTTTTTCACTCCGACACTAACTGTGAGTTTGTTTTTAATGCCATTTCAAACAAACAACAAAAAATTATTGTTTTATTGACATTTTTTTATAAAATGTAATGCCAACGTTAATGCTGCTGCTGTTACTCCACATATTCTTCTCATAAACTGGTTTTTTATTGTTAAATGAAAAAAATCGCTGCTCCTAACGAATTTTATTTTTTGCTCTGTCACCACCATCAGTGCAGTTACTTGAATGTCATTTCGATAGCGAGCAAAACAATAAACATTAACAACAACAATAAAATGAAATTCAAACAAACAAAAATTAAAAAAAAAAACGAATTTCCAAAAAGTTTTTTTTTGGTTATTGAGTTTTGAAGAAGCAAGAGAGAGAGAGAGAGAGCGAGGGGCCAAAAGTTAATGTAGGGCAGCAAATAGTTTGTGGTAGCTCTGATGGGCCCCTAAGTGCTTCGTATTGTTGTTATTCGACTGCATAGCAGCATTGCATGGCGGAAGAATTTGTAATGTTGTCATGCGAAGCATTTACAACGAACCCCGATTGACGGTCAGACAAATGAATGCATAGCGAGAGATAGGCTGGCAGTCAGTCAGTGAGGCAGATAGGTAGACATACAGTCAGTCATTGAATATGACTACAAACAATTACTTATTTCAACATTTGTAACTTAAGTAGAATTAAAATTCAAGGAGAAGTTTTGGTTTGGTGTGTTGAGGGTTTCTCGATACCCGAACAAGAAAACAGAAAACCACTAATGTTTAGCTTCGCAATTGAATACTTTTCAATTTGTACTTAATTTTTAATTTTCCTAATGAGATTTACATACATTTTTTAGGGGGTCAGCCGAGCCATCAGAGTTGAATTTTTAAAAGAATAGTTTTTATAGGCCTTGCGGAGAGTGAATTTTTAATATAATGTTTTTTGAGTCCATTCAAAAACCATTAAAGCTAATTTGTGTTGGATCTCCACCTGGTCGAACCTCCACTTAGCTACTCATCAGCTTTTTCGAACTCCTACTAACCTCCTCATAGGCTATTCAAACCTATAACGACCTTCTGATAGCTTAGTGACCTCCTGATAAACTGCTGGGACCTCTATAAACCTCCCCATAAGTTATTCGAAGCTTTACCCTGTCGTTCATAAGCTATTCTGGCCCCTTCTAACCACCTAAACATCATGTTACATAGATTTTGAACCTCAATTGACATGGTCGGAATAGATATAAACCTATAGAGACCTTCTAAGGACCTCCCCATAACTATTCTGACCTCTTCTATAATCCTTCTGACAGATTATAAGCTATTCGAAGTTTTACCCTGTTATTCACAAGCTATTCTGACCACTTCTATATACCTAAGAATCATGTTGTAAACATTTTTAACCTCAGTTGACCTCTTCGGAATCGTTGGATACCCTTAGAGTCCTTCTGATAGGTTATTAGGACTCTAAGGACCTCCCCATAACTATTCTTCTGGTAGATTATTAGGACCTCTAAGCACCTCCTTATCCCTCTTCTATACAGCTAAGATCCTTTTTGAAACTCAGTTACCCTCTTGAAAATCGATGCAAACCTATAGTGATCTTCTAATACATTATTAGGGCCTGTAAGGACCTCTAACCACCTTCTCATAAGTTATTCGAAGCTTTAATCATCTTTTCATAAGCTTCCGAACTCCTATGAACATTTTTTAAACTTTTTGAACCTCAACAGAACTCTTCAGAATCGATGCAAATCCATAGAGCCTTCTGATATACTATTACGACCTATACGTAACTCCGCTACCTTTCCGAATCTTTTTCGGTTGTTCGTAAGCTGTTCTGACTTCTTCTAAAACACCCAATATACCTTATGTACACAGTTGAACCTCAAAATACCTCTTTGGAATCGATGGAAACCCATAGTAACCTCCTTATATATTATTAGTACCTCTAAGGACCTATATGTATTTTAGAGGACTTAGTAGATTCCTAATAAGTAATTTTGGGTTGTTTTAAGCTCCTCATAACATAATTGAACCTCTACTTAGCCCTGCATAAATTAATAGGACCTCTAAAAACCTTCTCCGATGATTTTCAAACCTATACTGACCTGACTGATAAATACTTAGAACCTTTATAAATCTCTCTCTTTAACAGTTTTAACCTCTTCTACAACACCTAAGATACCTTTATGTAAACATTTGAACCTCAATTGATCTCTTCGGAATCGATTCAAATACATAGAGACCTTCTGATAGATTACAACCTATACGTACCTCCACATAACCTATTCGAAGCTTCACTCATCTCTTTATAAGCTATTCTGACCTTTTTGAACCTCAATAGACCTCTTCGGAATCGATGCAAACCCAGAAGATTTAGTAGATTTCTAATATGTAATTTGGGCCTGTGATCAGCTCCTCATAACCTATTTGAGCCTATATTTAGTATCTCTTCGGCTCTTTGGACCTCTGAAGCTATTCAAACCTATAAAGGCCTTCTGATAATAATATGAACATCTCCGCAAGTTATTCGAATCTTTACTCATCTCTTCATATTCTACTCTACTGACCTCTGCTAACATCCTAAGTTCTTCGCATGTACATTTTGGACCCCCTTATAAGCTATTTCTAACTATAGTGACCTCCTAAAGCATTATTAAGGCCTGTTAGGACCTCTAAGCACTTCATCATAAGCCATTCGAAGCTTTATTTATCTCTTCATGACATATTATGATCTTGCCTAACCTCCTAAGGACTTCCGCATATACATACTGACTTCCTAAGGAGATATTCATACCTATAGATACCTCCTAATGCATTATTT